ACTTGTGTGAACTTCTAAAATATCATTACATATGTAAATATTGTTACCTGTGTGAACTTCTAAAACATCATTACTTGTATGAATAATGTTACCTCAAATAAAGGAGAAGTGGTATCAAGTGTTTTATACAGAGTAAACATGTATTAGAAATGTTCAATATTTATTTTATTATTTGGCTGACTCTAGCACCGGTTTTTCTGCTATTTTAATTACAAGCTGGTTGCATTTAAATATTAAATCAATTAATAATACAATACAACTATAGAACTCAATTGATTCAATATCTCAACACCTTTGTCACAATCATATACAGATCTCAAATCTCACAAAAACAACAACAATAATCTTGCTTTCATACATTGCCAATAATGAATGATTACCATCCATGCAAATGATGTAGCCAAATCAATTTCAAACAATTGCAATAAATCAAACCTGAGGAAATAATCTATACATATAGACCTACTTCTCTAGATTGATTGACTGGAGTATATAAAATGTGATAATATATTTCACATTGAAATAGTCAAGATCTTTAATGCTTTGTTTCTACCATTCAATTTTATATTCAACTCAGGGGACACAAAGCAACTTCATGTAATTGTAAGAATGGTCTAACATGTGCGCTATAGATCATACATGTAAGGTCTGTCATTGAGTCAAGTGGCATGGTTTTGACCCACACTTGTACATGACAAGAAGTACGGTAAGGATGCCCGTCTAATCTTGTGGTGTTTTTTCCAGGTCTTCTGGTTTCCTCCAACTGCTAAAGACTCCTATGTGGAATAAAGTTGTACCACCATATTAGTCCCAAAATGAGCTAGTTTGTGATATGTGGGCAATATTTTTCAATGTTCAATAACTTGAATAAAAACCTGACAGATCATATCCCAATATCTTCTACTATTTCGACATTTCATATTTTTGTCATGTAGAGTTTTGTAAGATATTTATTTTAATGTTCATCTTTTTGGTATAGGATGTCCTCAGACAATTACTTCAAAACCTTTATCCCTTTGAACTAGATAAGTCCTTTCATCTCAAAATTCAAATGGGAAATGAAAAAGTTTAAATATTCAAAGCCTGTCATTAATTATTTAGACACACTATTGTATTCTTTTCCACAACACGAACTATGGCTGCACTTTTTAACACTATGTAATTTCTCATTCAAGGAATCAAGTGCTGTCAAAATCTAAAATGTCATTTCCTTCCCCGTTCTTCCACCACTATAAATTCATATTAAGACGATTTTGGAGTCCAGCCACTTCTCTGTAATAAACTTGAACCAATTGATTTCCACTGACGAGAGGCTTTCAAAGAGCTACAAAAGTTATTGCCAAGCTCTGGCGGGACATAAATATACCAATCTTAAAACAAAGCACTGATTGCCAGTCTTGGCACAAAGAGCCGATGTTCATTTCACAGAATCAGGAATTGTTCAGTGCCATCATTTCTGATAGTGAATAATTTCAGGCTATCACAGTAACAAGAAAGAATTAGTCATAAAACATCTTAAATTCTTAAGGGAGTTAAACCATTTCTTCTATCAAAGTTACGTGTTTACATGTATGTCATTTCATTTGTTATTATGAAAGGAAATACAGTAACAATCACTCAAAAATTATTTATAACCTAATACTTTAAAAGGGTGTAGGCAGAGAAATCAACTAAGGAAGATCCAACTATAAGAAATGAAATGGGGTTTAACATCCTACTATCCTGCACCAACTGGGCTAATAAAGACGGGTATGAGGGTAACTTTGCCAACTGTCAAGATTATTTTTATGTGGACGCGAATGTTTACACAGGATCTTGGTTTTTTGTCCTATCCAAACAACTAGCCACCACTCCGTCCTGCATCACTGACAAGGGGGAAAGAACCACAACGAAAAATGACAAGTTACTTTCACGTCCAATACCGGGATAAAACACAACCCTCAAGGTTAGCTAGTCAGCTCCTTACTCACTGAGCCACCATGACGGCTCTCCCCGAACTAAAAGGCAATGCTTATGTGTATATGGTAACCTAGTAACTTCAAAGGCTACATTATAGAATACATGCTGAGGTGTTATATTAGTAATAGCAGATAAAATCCCCACCCCCACCCATGGTCAAGTAATCAAAAATAGTGATGCATGTATGGGGCACCTTTGAGTGAAATAACAATTTTTTAAAAAATCGCCATTATAATGTTACTTTTTAAGCTCTTCAACGAACAATAAAAAGTCATTTCTACCAATATTAAATAACTTTCAAAAAGATTTAAGACACTTCAGAATCTGTCTGACTAGAATACATTAAAACAGCCCTGGAACTATATACATCCATTCCATGTTATACATTCATAACTAGAAAGGGTGTTTAAAACATGTATCTATTTTAGTTGAAAACTTTAAACACTTAGTCAGACAATAACAACTTGACAATAATATAAGCTGTAAATCAGAGGTTGTACTGGAGGTGGTCATTAGGTCTCTACACTCTAAATGAAGGTGGTTGGGCAATTAAGTGGTCGAATGTGTGCATTTTAGATGATTAGGTCGGACATTGAGTTAAGTGGCATTGTTTCGATCCCAAGTCTGTACATCACAAGAATTAAGATCACCTTCCCAGTCTTGTGTTTTTTTCTGTGTCCATCTGTTTCCCCCCACTGCTAAAGACCCCTATGCACAAGCAAATTCTAGAAATAAAATTGTAAAATACATTATTTTTGAAATGACCCAGTTTGTGTTGAGTTGACGTTAAACCCCACTTCTCTCTCTTTAGTGACCAGAGATAAAATTCAATATTTCTTCTTACATTATGCGATTTCATTTATATTCTTAGATGGGTTATATAGTTGGTGTTATTTTGATAATGGATGATCAAATATCTAAACCATGGAATTTAGTCCTGAAGGTAAATCCCTTGCAAACTACAATATTGTATAAGTTGAATCTCTAAAGGGATTATCAGTTCAAAAATGGTTAAAATCCGTTCGGTATGTACAAGGATATGATGAATTGAAAATTTCGTAACATTCGTCATACTCTGCAGATGATAAATTGTATATACGAGAAATCATCCATAAATGTTGGGTAAAATTTAAATCTGATATAAGTCAAAACCGGGAGATTATTGACCTTTGACATTTTGATGGTTTTAGTACATTTAGTATGGATTAATCCATCCTAAATTAGATATTCAATAAATGCAACTTTAAATATCTATGCAAATCATATCCACCGCAGGGGATCAAGTGCTCTAATGCGGGTGCTTTAGATCGTAAGGTCTGTCATTGGGTCAAGCGGTATGGTTTCGATCATAAAGTTGTGTCATGACATAAGGGGGGAATCCTTATTGGCAATATAGTTGAATAAAATGTGTGACTTTGTTAATCAATGCTGTGATGTAACCAATCTCATTACATAGGGCATTTTGCCTCCTAGCAACAGAAAGAAATAAACCTCCATCAAACTTGATGTATTAATCTGTCTATAGCGAATGAATATTCAACACAAATAATTCTGAATAAAACTTGTTGCTTATAGATACAGGATATTTTGATGGTGTCATTAACGGATATGGAAGTTACAGAACAGTATCACCATATCAAATGGATATGTTATCATTTTCAGAATCATTAATATAAAATGTATTACACAGTCTAGCATTAAGATCAGGCCCATCACACCATGATTACACAGAACCTGATAGACAACAACAGATAACCACGAGCGAGACACATCATGGACATCACAGACAATAGTAAGGCAGTGTTTGTAGTCTGTCTCAAGGTATGTCTGAAAGGATGTAGTCAGAAAATATACATGTATGACCTCTCCTGACCTGTTAGGAGAAGGCCCTGTTTTTTTTAATGTTACTTTAGAATAGTGCTTGTGTATGGTTCCTTGCCTGGTTCAATATAAAAAATATCAGCTTTGCTACAGTAGTTGAAATAAATTGGTCAAAGAGGATATAAATGCTAGCATGGTGATTAAAGTGCAGTAATGTCAAAGAACTATACGATTGTTCTTTAAAGATATGTATAATTTATTTTGAGTCATACATTTAATAATGCATGCCTTTCATCAACCCAAAATTGTCATTGCCAAATTATCAGCAATAAACAGGGCCTAAAGTTTGTGAACCTCCCAACATCTGTGAATTCAAGCTATCAGAGGACTGGCAGGATCAGATACTGACTAGTCGAGGAGCGAAAACATGTTGTTTGTTAAAGCCACTAGATGAAGATATTTCTCTATTTAATGTGATTTCGACATTTCATCTGTATTTTTGCATTCGAACTGAGGATCAGGTAATTTGCTTCAAATAAAATCATGTGAACATGGCCTTAGTTAATATATATATATTGAGTCATACACATAATATTATTGTATATTTCATGGCCAATAATACGAACTGTATTATGTCTTTCATTGGAATAATTATGGGTTTAAATTGAATGTACACATTCAAGCATGTAATATCAAATATTGCCTGGGAAATTTCTAGATTATTGCATGGGGGCAATAAATAACACCCTGGGAACAGTTCAACATAATGGTGGTATTACTGATATCCATTTATCATCATTTATGAGTTATCAGTATTATTTGTGTATGGTATATACTATATAATCGTTGAGATATACTGCAATGTATACAGGATATACATAATCGTAATGGTATACACATCCACAACACCCTTTATAATACAGTTACAATAACAGACAGGCACAATTTTTAACTAGGTCATCATCATAACCTCTTCAAACACCAATAATACTGTACAAATTAGAATTGTAATATTTCATCTAAATTAATTAAATTGTAGGTCTCAAGTCACTACTTTAGAATAAAGGGTCCCTTTCCACGCAGATGCGCAAACATGAAGGCCATAGAGTAAGAAGTTAGAACATGATAGTGACTCATAAAACACAGATAATATACATTACATTTAGACAACTTGAACTCTGTAATTTTATCCGCGCCAACAAAATATTTGAGATACTAACTTGTGATACTGGGCCTGGAGAAAGCTGAATTCTTCTTTGATGCGATCACATGATTCGGACACTGTGAATTTAATAGGCTGGCCAGGCTGGTGTGGTCCCTGGGAAATAAAATAGATACTTTGTATACAATCTAAACATTGAAATATACCACATATTGTAATGAAATGTAACTAAAAGTAAACATACAGGCCTACTAAATCCAGGTGAATTCATGGTATACGTCCTCACGCTACGACAGTCTAGCCCACTTCTGCCGGGAAAGGAACACAAAGCGGGTTAGCGAGACAAAGAACCGGAGACGAAACGAAATACTGAGGCGAAATTACAATACAACACAGCACTTACTGGATGACGGTTGGGGTACATGGTTGTAGCCGCCGCCTATCTCCAGGGCGTCCACGCTTTGTATTAGTATAAACTTGATTGTTGGGTCTGACTTCTGCTCGTTGCAAAGACTGAGTTCACTTCAGCTAAAATCCCTCCTCGGTTTGGAAAAGGTCAAATCCGTAAGAAAAGCACTCAATTAACCATCGCTGTTACCAAAGCCATGAGGTCGGCAGATGCCGCCAAAATCCAGAAGATTATAAACCAAATTTGATTAGGCGACTCAGATTGAACTAGGTTACAAATATCCACAATTTACAAGAGAAACTTCAGGTACAATATTGAGTCGTAAATATAGGAGAAAAAAGTAGTCGTCGTGTGAACACAACCTTCGAAGCCACACACTCAGAATAATTCTACACGCTGTATTAGCTTCGAGTAACAATGGAAAGGGCAAATACTTCGAAGATAAAGAGAGTGTTTTGATTGGCTACTTCATGCCCAGCCTGCTAACACTCATACCCACGTGCTTTTCTTAATTATTCACGCTTTTCACGCCATTTAGACCAATCCACAAGCTAGCTGGGATAAGTCACCTGACGTTTGTGCATAAATTGTGAATAATTTCCCGTCACTCAAAACCACGTGCTCGGAGTATTTGCTTTAGATGTTCGCCATTTTGGCATCGCGAATGGAAATTAAAACATAGAAAAAGCAATAAAACAGTATTTCTAATGAATAAAATCCCAGTGTGTTGAATTCTAGACTTAGACCGAATGAAGTATTCCGGAAGCGAGGTCTTTGGGTTAAAATGTTTCTAGGTTACCCAATGAAGAAAATAGGCAATCTTAGTTCCCAAAATACCAATATTTTTTGGCATCAGAAAAAAAACGGTGTCTTATTCGAAAGATTATTAATAATAGTTAAACTTTTACCAGAAAAGTTCCAAATACTTTAATCCCATTGGTTAAAATATCTATCGAAAATCTATGCACACGTGGTTTTGACAAGTTCCTGTCAAAAGCAAGCTCCGCCTACATGAGCTGTTTGAAAACCTCTCCTGGTCATTAACAAGAAACGAAATTATATGGTCGAAGCTAATCAAATAATAATGCGCTAATTACATCCAACTTTGCAGATTGCAGGTGGTGTGTATCGTAATGAAAAAATCTCCCACAACTTATTTTTCATTTTAAAATTTTTAGTGCTTCCTCTAACCATTTAAAAAGGTTAGGCCTATCAGATATTTAGAAAACAAAACAAAAACCTAAACCCAAAGATTGAAAAAAAAAGATTTAATAGTTTCAATCGACAAATGTCATTTTTGTAACTGTTGTTTGTCTATTATGCGTTGTCCCTGTACGACACTATTAAAAAGCACACAGTAAATTACTCTCAAACAATAGCTTTGGTGTTTTAAAAGTTTCAAACATTGACAATGTTCATATCTACCTGCAGAAAACCCAACACAAGAGAAACACGTTAGTGCTTGTTTTTGGCGATCTTCGTTTTACTGTAGATAAATGATTTTAGCGATTTACTTGACTTTGCAATTGAGTTGGCGCATTCATATTACATGTGTTCACATTTTAAGTTTAGAACCGAGATACAGAAGTTGTAAATCGAGGGTTATTTTGAATATGATGTAACTTAAACAACATACATTATGCAAGAGCCAAATCGGCTTATAGCTGAACTGTTATCTAAATTATTAATTAGACATTAATTAACTTATCCAGCTTAAATTATCAACTCTCGGTGTCATCGCTTCCATTCTTGATTTAATCATGAAATGGATAATCGAGACTGTTTTTTTTCGTACCGATAAAGGCTAGGTCAAAAATTCAATCGCTAAAATCTCAGTTTCGAGTGGATCAATTTAACTGAAATTTTCAACAAATTTCCTTTACATTATCTAGTTTTTAACTATTATAGTGAGAAATGTCAGGTCTTTATCTAATCTCTCATAATGTATCTTTAATGGGAAAGTGTCCGGCGTATTTTGGAAGGACAAAAGACTGTTTCAATCCCGTATACTAGTCTTGTGCAACTATCTGGAGCTCGGTGGTAGGCTACTTTTTCGACGAAATATTGACTTTTTTTTTACTTTCCACCTGGCATTGCTTTGGACTAGGATTCACTAAAATTCCACCCTTCGTAAGAGCCTTGATAACCATGTCATTGTCGACGTTATTGCATGGATTATAGACCACGCGCTATTGTTGTGAGTGATCGTCGCGATTATCATGTCACTCATTCAACTGAAGAATGAGATTCCTTAAAGAAGCATTCCCGCGTAGGCTATAAACTGAGTGATTTGATGATATATTTGGACTAAGAACATATTCAAACTAAGTAATCTAAGAAAAATTTGCGTTAAATCCCTCTCAAAACATTGTATTCGCGAGGAAATGCCCCACGGTAAAAAAAAAATAATCCATTTTTAGAAGCGATGTCTGTCATGTAACTTGATTGAGGGAGGGCCCATTTTTTAAAATGTATTTGTCGTTACTTTACTGTCCATTTGCTATACTGCGTAGGCTATAAACTGAGTGATTTGATGATATATTTGGACTAAGAACATATTCAAACTAAGTAATCTAAGAAAAATTTGCGTTAAATCCCTCTCAAAACATTGTATTCGCGAGGAAATGCCCCACGGTAAAAAAAAAAATAATCCATTTTTAGAAGCGATGTCTGTCATGTAACTTGATTGAGGGAGGGCCCATTTTTTAAAATGTATTTGTCGTTACTTTACTGTCCATTTGCTATACTGCGTAGGCTATAAACTGAGTGATTTGATGATATATTTGGACTAAGAACATATTCAAACTAAGTAGTCTAAGAAAAATTTGAGTTAAATCCCTCTCAAAACATTGTATTCGCGAGGAAATGCCCCACGGTAAAAAAAAAATCTATTTTTAGAAGCGATGTCTGTCATGTAACTTGATTGATGGAGGGCCCATTTTTTGAATGTATTTGTCGTTATACATATTGAAGCCTAAGTAAATTCTTGGATTATTTTCTGCCAACTTTGTTTTACGCCGTTTAATTGCGGGGTCTTTTGTACGTTTAAAACCCTCAATGTCCGAACGACGCTTAACCATTCGATTAAGAAATAAAAAACCCTTCCTAAGTCAAGCCGGCAGACAATAAGCCGTCGTGTTGACAGTTAGTGATACCCTGACATTTTTGCCCAGTGCTTGCCGCAAGCGTGCTTTTCAAGGAATCCGGTATTTTTCTAATAAGATTGGGCGTCTCTATACTTTTCATTCATACCAAATCTGCCATACTTTTATTGGAAATAACTACCTTATGAATATTTTCGTGAGAATGTATCTTTAACCAGGTTAATCAGCTTAATATTCTGATTTAAAATTATCAGACAAGGTAAGCTAGACTAGTTTGTAACATTTCTGCGTTTCATTTGTACACAGGAGTACTCTTTTAATCACGGTAACTAATGGAATCTTGGGCTGCCCCTTTAAGACATTTATTTTCTCGAAGAAAGAGACAACGTCTCTTGAAAGTGTCATGAACACAATTATTGCGTTTCATCGTAGACAGTAAAATAACACTCCTTTTATAGAAACGCAACCCAAGTATAAGATGATGTTTTAATAATTTATAGACAGTGAGAAAGCTCTCGATTAATTAGCACTTTAACATTTCCCTGTAGACCCATTAAATTAATCCTGGGATACTCCAGTCCTCGAAGAGATTAAACACATAAATAAACACTAAATAAATAATATTTAACAATTAAATTTACAGCTATTGTATCTTATATAGACCGACACCCTTAAATCAATAGTCTCGACATGACCTATCGTTTGATCGCACCCTATAAATTAACAGTCATCATCGAGCGTCATATCCATTACCCCCTTATCATCACATCATTATCATCATCGTCATCATCATTTGTGAATAAATTTTCAGTCCTGATTGTCATCAATCTCTTTTTTTTTTTTTTTTCGCAATTTGGTATCTTATCAATATCATCATCGTCGTCATTATCATCACCGACGCCCTCATCCTCACCTGCACGGGCTCTTGGTTATCAAAACCGAAGCAAAATGAGTCACTTATAATCTGGGCCTTGAATATGCCATACCTGCTTTTTGGCATAGTTGCTTGAAAATATAACCAATCATAATTTGTATCTTTTATACTTAAAAACTAATGTTAAAAATCAATTATTTTGCTTATAAAAATACAGAGCACGGCAGCCAAGCACGTGCATCGTTAATGTTTATAGCCCCCTGCAGGGAGTTTTGGGACGCGACGTTCACCGGAACTACTAAAAAAGGGACATACATACGACCTATCCATAATTACTAACATTAGCTTTATTCGCATTGATAATTATGTTAGAACACGCATTCTCGCTGATTCAGAGATGAGGCATTGTGCACGAACGTGTTACAAACGTGTTCAGCCAAACGAACACGCGCACGCGAAATGATACACATCTACAATAACAATGATGCCAATAGTTTTCTTTATTACAAATAATTGTAACATGTAATACACGTTTTACATACGGTCAAAGGGTACAAAAAGAGTTTATCCTGCCATTCCGTACTTTAAATAATTAAAAATAAATTTGAACCAAATATGAACATAGAAAAAGTTTTGCATCTATATTACCGCAAACAGTTAAACGCATGTACATGTACATTAAAGCCTGTACAGCCCGAGTATAATTTTTCGGTGATTTAAAATAATCTCGAATGAATCATTAGTCCGCTGTATCCAACGAATTTTAATGTTCACATTACGAACACCACGTTTCAAGAATACACGCATGAGTTCTAAAAAGCTGTTCAAATTTGAACACAAGGTGTGCATTTACTTCTTAATGTCCATGGAATAAGACACGATTGGAATACATTGCAAGTTAGTTGTTCCAGAAAAGCAGTTAGGATCAGTGGCACATTGTCTGCTGTATATATGCTAACTATTCCAATTGCGCGCTTTCATAGCTGATATTGTTTATTTCATTCTCTACGTTGATGCAACTTTGTAACCTTTGTATAAACAACCCCATCTTCAATAGAGGGCTGATCTCGCTTAAACTCCGTATTATCAAGCCCTTCACGTAATACCTTGCATATTTCGGCACTAATTTCGATTGGCTACTGACCCAGCTGGGGAGCCTATCAGATTCCGCGATCACAGCTAAAATGTCTACCTGTGATGATCGAGTTGCAAAGTTCAAGGTTCGTTCAATGTCAAGGTTTCCGTGGAGGTCGCCACGTTTGACTTGAGTGTGCTTGTGTCACAACCTCTAATTGGATGCTATTGTTCACGCGTCTGCGTTAAAGGGACCTAACGTAGCTATAAGTTCGGGAGCTGTAGACATCTAGCAACGTCTAAATGTTATAAAACTCGCTGTCGTTGCTTCAGAAACATGAAACAGAAATGA